AGGGTTTCGTGTTGTTCAGTGCTTATCATGCCGGACAACCTGATATTTTTAAGGGTTCGTGTTGTTCAGAGCTTATCATGCCAAACCACGTGAAATTTTCAAGGGTTCGTGTTGTTCAGTCTTAAGGTTTCTACTTAATGGTTTGTTAAGTGATGTTTGTCTTTTTGTCTTTTTCATCAATGGTTTTGTTGGTCTGTCTTCGACTTATCAGTCAATTTTGTCGGTCTGTATTCGACTTATCAGTCAGTTTTGTCGGTCTGTCTTCGACTTATCAGCCAGTTTTGTCGGTCTGTCTTCGACTTATCAGTCAGTTTTGTCGGTCTGTCTTCGACTTATCAGTCAGGTTGTTTGGTCTGATTTCGACTTATCAGTCAGTTTTGTTGTACCTCAAGTATTTTCTGACTCTTTTTATTTTTCATTAAACCAAACATAGAAATGAAAGTGTGAAACCGGACATAGATCGATCTCATTACCAATTGAGACCAGTAGAAAACTGCCTTTTCGAATATTCTGATCTCACATTCAACAAATAAAGGCAACAGTAGTATACCGCTATTCGAAATTCATAAATCGATTGAGAAAAAAAAAACAAATCCGGGTTACAAACTAAAACTGAGGGAAACACATCAAATATACGAGGAGAACAACGACAGAACAGAAACTCAACACCAAAATGTAACACACACAGAAACGAACTATAATATAACAATGGCGATTTTCCTGACTTGGTACAGGACATTTTAAGAAAAAAATGGTGGTTGAACCTGGTTTTGTGGCTAGCTAAACCTCCCGCTTTTATGGCAATGTTAAATATAACATTAAAATGACAAGATTACATGACAGGACTACAATACAAATAAATGGGAGAACATACAGGACAGAGACACACACAAATAGTAGCTTTCAAAAGGTACCAGGCTTATAATTTAATACGCCAAACGCGCGCTTCGTCTACACAAGACCCATCAGTGACGCTTAGATCAAAAAAGTTCGAAAGCCAAAACATGTTCAAAGTGTGCATTGAGTACCAACAACATCATTCATATGAAGATATTTTAAAAGACATACATTCCTGATAGGGATTTCGAATGTGAATTAAATCTGTTAAGAAAACAGTATCATATATAATTGATGTATTCACCATCAACATGACTGTGCTGCTACTGGAAACTCTTAGTGCCCGAAGTACCGTAAGCCTTTCACTACAATTATTAATTACTCCATTTGGTCTCACTGGTGTATATTTATTGATTCAGTGTGATTTCATTTGCTAATGTCTCGCTCTCATTAATTAACTATGAGCTAAGTTATTACATGAACATTTTCAATTCTAAGTTGAGTTCAGTCGTGGAAAGATTTTTTTCTATAAGGTTTAATTAAAAACAAAATTATGAAAAAAATGTTTTAATTGAAATGCCTGTCATATGACTTCGTTAAATGCGCACACAATTGTTATTTTATAGATTCATTTTGACTACTGTAACAATAGAATACACTTCAGACGAATTGATTTCAGTTTATCGAATGAATCAAAATTAAATGAGTTTTCAGTATTTTTCGAAAATTTAAACCTTAACATTTATTATCAAAATAAATATTCATTTTTTTTCAGACAGTCATGAAAATATTTGAAATCGCTTTGAAATTGAGTTTCCTTTTTCAAAACGCGAAGTTTACTGTTGGAAAATATCAGACAACTAAGGAATTCTTCAGAGTAGATAAAAATAAGGAAATACGGTCAATGGATCTCGAAGTTATAGGTAGTTTGTCTGAAATTCAATGTGCAGCATTCTGTGTGGAAAACAGTGATATCTGCTGTGAGATAACTTATGTAACATTGAGTGGAGAGTGTAAACTGGGATCCTCTGGTTGCTGTCATACGGAATTGAACAACGTTTCTGGTTCAAACATTCTACACCCCGGTCGTAAATTTAGCGGTAAGTCAATCATGTGCTTTATAATCTTATGTAAACCGAGAAACTGAATGACAGAAGAATAGAACCCCTTTACTTACTGCCTTACATACATGCTTTCAATATGGATCAATATGGTAAATCCTTTAAGCTCTACACGTGAAGCTGTCATTATTTCCGCAGCTACATATCATACCAGCTTTAAACTTTACAACAAACTCTCGACATTTTGAGTACGTGACTGAATTAGTATGCTTATTTTTTAGCTTGGATTTTAAGTATTCGGATTGTCATCTGATGAAATCCATCAGTGAGTTAGGTGGACAGTTTTCTCTACATTCAATATCTTTCTGTCTGAACCCGTGCCGGTTTTTCACTTTGTTTTTTATTATCTAAACAGATAGATGGATTTCAGAGAACAACAGTAATTGCAAATCCATCTTTGAAATTATAATGTTTGTCTTGATTGGCACTTGCTATCTCCTAACTTTGCAAATAAAGTGTGGAGATATTATAATGGATATGTATGTCTCTTTGTCCATAATTGATAATTCTCTGTTCATTTTATTATATCTTAAGCAATTGTGGGGCTATATAGTAATCACTTTGTCCGTCCGTTGCCACCTAAATCTGCAACCCATCCTTGGCTTGCAAGAATTCATCGCTTTGAGCGTTCCTTATGAGGGTAAATCAAGAAAAGTGCTACGGACGCATACAATTTACAACGTGTTGTCTTAATTTTTTACAGCACTGGGTCGATCCCTCTGCTGGTGGACAACCAGTCCCAGAGGCTATCATCAGCCCAGTAGTCAGTACTTCAGTACTGATATGATTTGTAACAAACCTTTCTAAAATTATCCGTTAATAAAATTTGAAATTATTAGAAACTAAGGTTCTTAGTTTCAACTCCCTTAGGCAAAGTTGGCATTAGATGAATTTGGCTATTTTTTAGGTACTTTTCGGTCATACAGCTCTTCAACTGTTTCGGTCCTTATACATCCTTGGCTTTCAAATATTTGGCTTTGAGCTTTCCTGATGAAGGTTAATTCAGAAAAGCGCTTCGGACGCATGAAATTAATAACGAGTTGTTTTCATCTTTTACAGCACTGGGTCGATACCTCTACTAATGGACTATCAGTCCCTGAGGGTATCATCAGTCCAGTAGTCAGTACTTCGGTACTGATATGATTTATTACAAACCTTTCTAAAATTGTCCGTTAATAAAATTTGAAATTATTAGAAACTAAGGTTTCAACTCCCTCAGGCAAAGTTGGCTTTAGATGGAACAAATATTCGACTTTGAGCGTTCCTGGTAAAGGTAAATCCAGAAAAGCGTTTCGGACGCATGAAATTTATAACGTATTGTTTTCATTTTTTACCAGTTACCAGACCACTACAATCTCCCTTTTACATGCAACAGATTTGCGTTCGACAAATAATGTCTTTGGTTAAAGTAGTTTACCACGTTTAATTAAGTTGCATTTAGATGTGAATCTGCAGTCCTGTTTAGCGTTATAGGAAACAAATAATATTACATTTCCCATCTTTAGGTTGGCCTTTCGTGTACCCAAGGTAGGTGAACGAAGTCAACTTAGGAGTGCTGTGAATGAAAGGGTATAATATAGTTTTTATTAATTTATGAATAACTGCAGTATCTTTATTTATAACATAAATTTTGAAACACATTGAAATATTTTTTGAGAGTAATTTGAAAAGGCTTCAATTTGATGTAAAATGACGATACTATAAATAAGCTCCGTTCGAAGATAGTCATGATACCATGTGACGTAAATTTCTAAAACAGAATAATAAAGTACTAATATAACACATACCTGTTTTGTCCAGGTTTTTATTATAAAAAGTGGTAAATGTAGAAAATGTTAGTATTGTCGCCTATGGAAGAATAAATACTACCGTTATTTCCTATATAAGTTATATACATGTTACAACTGTAGGGTTGTTTGTAAAAATGTAAACCTACTCAAAAAGTAATTTTGTGTGTTCATGGAAAAACCTAAATCATTTTAGACACGCGTGTAAATTAAAAGTATGTACATCCATATAATTATATTTGTACATGCGCATTTGTAATGGCCGAGGCTCTATATACTGCATTTCAATTTTGATTCATTTATTGTGCATACGATTTTATTCGTTACCATTTTAAAGACATAGTTTGCTGCGTGTGTTCCAATGCTGGAGGGAGATACATGAAAAAAGAAGGAAGTAGTACGCCTAAAAAACCATCCCGATAGAATTTACGGAAAGGACACTCAGAAATCATTTTGTTTTCCGAACTTTCTCCCTAAAAACTCAAAGTGAATTATCATCAGGGGAGATAGCAAACTAAAGTTGTCATACTAAGTCTACCTTTAGGGTAGAGAGCCAAATGAAGTGGTACTAGGCGACTATATGTCTCTATTTCCTAATTATTTGGCCGATTATTTTCTATTTTGTATACCCTATCAACACACTCGTATACTAAGATATAAAAAGCCGCAATAGCAAAATGTAAAAAGTTCAAACGAAAAAAAACCAACGACGATTTATTATAAACAATAAACGAACAATAGAAACCAATAACCTCCATTGAATTACAGGCTTCTGACTTAGATGACTTAACAGGAATGATTGTGTGCCCTATATTTGTCAGTGTCCTCACGAGGCGATCGATAGTGGGCGAAATATAAGTAGTGGATTATTCGGATTAGCTTTTTACCTAAGACAGGTACGTGAAGCATGTGGCGGGGTTAAGCATATTTGCTAGCAATGAATTTCTGTGTGACTGTCCAAACTCAGAAATCTAGTACGTGTTCGACTTACACATGTTACAACTAATGGTTTTGCTATTTTAAAAAATACTGTCGATTGCAGAACATTGATAGTTTCTGTCTAATTGATACTATGTTTTTTTCTTTTTAAAGGGGGTGCTGGTGTTGCTTCAAATATTTTGTACACATACCTTTTTATTGTTGCATATACTGTATATTGAGTTTAAGAGGTCTTTAATTTGTGCTGCTGTTGGGTTTGCTGTAACGTAAAACGTTATTTATAAAAAAATTCACCTACATAACTTATGTTTTTCAGACTATATCTATACATTGTCTGTTACAAATGGTGGAGTTTTTGGGGATTGGACATACCAAGAATTTTGTACGAAAGGTCATTATGCCGTTGGTTACAAAATGAATGTATGTATACTTCCATGGTTACTATATTAAGCTAACGGTTTTTGATCGACGTCAATAGGAAGTACACACTTCATGGTGTGGTGGCGGGAGAGTTTCATTTTTATATATTTTTTAAAGTAGAGAAGTATCAAAAGCGAAACAAAAAAATATTTATCGTTCTTTTTTTTTTTGACAGGAGATCGTAAAGGGTTGATTAATGTAGTCGGTGGTTTCATTTAGTCTGTGGGCATTTTTCCGATACATATGTAGCTGCTTCAAATGCCAATTCCGATAAAACAGAGAAAAAACACTAACATCAAAAAGTTTATTTAAATCCATTTTTTATTCAAAAATTAATGCTTAGTAATTCTAAAAAGAGAAACCATGCAAAATACATAATGAAGTTAGTTGATAAAGGGTAGGGCGAGTAAGTTGTAGAACTAAAGCCTGGCTCACTTCTTTGTAAGGATGTTCGCTCGTCTGTTTCAAAGGGACAAGCTTTTTAAAAGACTATTATAAAGTGATAGTTTTTGAATAATAGAAATAAAAAAGCAAAAAAAAACGAAAGGTCCGTGTCCTTGTTTTTGAGATATATATTCAATTGAAATTTGGCGGGAAATAATTCTCTCTAGATTTTTCTTACATTTAACATTGGCTCCTTTTCTCTCTCAAAACCTATGAAAAAATAGCAAGGATTGTATTAAAAAATTGTTTTTAAAACTAAATGTAATTAAATTATGAATAGAAAAGTAGAGGTTAGCGTGCATAATTTGTATTGGCACTTCATGGATAAAACTATAGGAATCCGAATACCTGACAAAAAGACATAAACAAGAATAGCGAATATCCTTAAGAATATATTGATTGAGAGGGTAAATGCTTCCTGGTTTCGTCATGAATAAATTAAATACGGTTGCTCGCGTACTTAATTGATCTTTTCATCACCAATTTAAATCTTATTCTCCTCAAATTTTGATTTAAATCAATACTATACAATACATGTATAGCCTTTATATGAGGTTTATACGAGGTTATATCGACCTAAGAGAAGCACATTGATTGAGGACAAATTCCGAGGTCAATATACTTCTCTAGATAGATATAACGTCGTATTGACCTCACGCAAAGGCTACAACTGTTATATTATTAATTAAAAAACTATTACATGAACAATATGAAATTAGGGATTTCTATAATGAACTTTAATAACATGTTGTATGCACTTTGCAATACGCTGTTTTTGACCTACGAAAAGCTAAACACAACAGTATTGACATGCAAACTGAGTAAATACAAATGTACATGTGATCAAGTTTTAACCAATCACAAATCCTTAAAAATTTCGATTAATAATATTACTATATATTGCTTCCATCTGTCTTGGTATGCTCGAAAATTAGAATAAATAAGAAAATATGAATACATGTTTATCCGAACGTTAAATCATCATATCATATATGCATACATATTATTATTAGTTACACAGTGCACTTGTGAAACAATACGATATATACCGGGTCAGTTAATTCCATATGGGTTAGAAGGTGTATATGTGGTAAGATAATATTAATGCTCGCGATCATTTTTTTTCTCTTCTTTGAATGACAGATTGAAGGGCCAGATGACGATAGAACAGAACTGAATGCTATCGAGATTATCTGTGGAAGTAGAGGGGGTGTTCGTTGTGGTGACACAGCAAGTTCTGGCCAGCAGAACTATGGAGATTGGACAGAGGAGGTATTTTGTCCAGCTAAAACTTTGCTGGTCGCATTCTCTCTACAAGTGCATCAGTACAATGTAAGTTGTTTATGTTTAAACTGTAATAAATACATATATATATATATATATATATATATATATATATTCTGGACTGAAATTATCACGTATCTAAATCTATTGTTTAGACTGTATAAATTACGTAACAATAAGCTATCAGGTTATATAAATATATATATATATATCAATGATACAAAAAGTGCCTTGTTAAAAGTAAAAACTCTCTAGTGGGTTTTTCATGCAACTTATTATTATAAGTTTTTCTTTAAAGTTTTGTGTTTTTTTTTTCATATTCCTCCAGGAAATGTAATTAGATGACTATACTGAATATATCAAAGAATAAATAGTTTATAACATTCATTGCAATAAAATAAAAGGTTTCAAATCTTGCAATATTGTCTGTTTATCAACTAGAAAGTAAAGTAAAAAAAAAATACCGAACTCCAAGGAAAATTGAAAACGGAAAGTCCCTTATTAAATGGCAAAATTAAAAGGTCAAATACATCAAATGAATTGAAAACAACTGTCATATTCCTGAATTGGTACAGGTATTCCCTAATGAAGAAAATGGTAGATTAAACCTGAAAATAATTCTTTTTTTTTGATAATCATAAAAGGGAATCACTCATGTAATGAATCGTCTGATGATTTGGATATTCTGTCGATTTTGACATTCGGCGCATTTTTGTGAATTAAAGGTGTTCCATATTATTATAAGGTTTCAAGATACGCGACAATAATATCCATTTACCCATGTTAGGTTTTATTTAAGCCATGTTGGTTAAACGAACGGTTTGCCATGTTGGTTGATAGACCAGTTTATAATTTTTCAAAAACTAAGCGATATTCATCTCATGTTAGGTTTAAATTATTCCAGCACTTTCAACATGAAAAAAATTAGAAATCACTCACATTAACATTTGATTGACTTGATGGGATTTTCTTGTTTATCTTGCTTGATCATTATCAAAATTATATTCAATCTCTGTGTATTTATAATCGCTTTCAAGTTAATTGACAGAATCGTTGAAATTTGGGGGTAGGGACTCGTCATTAAAGAACAATGAATTCTATAAGAAGTCTGTTAATGATTTCAGTCATTTCATGTCCTTCAGGATAAGAAGATTAGAATTGTTTCCTGTTTGGTGATTCTGTAAATTTAGACACATTATTAACGTCAAGTCATAGATATAAAAAAAAATATCATTGATACACGGCTTATAATTTTGTATGCCAGACGCGTATTTTATCTACAAAAGACTCATCAGTGACGCTCAAATTGAAAAGTTAAAATGTTAAATCAAGTAAGAAGTTAAAGAGCATTGAGGAACCAAAATTGCGAGAGCTTTTGTCAAATTCTAAGAATTTTCTACCCCAAGTATAGATTTCTGTTGGGGGATAATTGTGACCATTTAATAACCAAATTGTTTCATTACTACAAAGACTTTTAACTCATTAGTAAACTTTATAAATAATTTACTAATAACTGGCAATAGTAAAATTGCAAATTCTCTATTATCACTCAGATTTTGTTTTTTAATGGGGTGATTAAATTATCCACATGAGGGTATTTGCATCGAGATAACCTTCATTTCGGTATGTTAAGCGATTTGCGTTGAAAATCTATTGCACCAGTAATTTAGTTTTTTTTGCTTTGTTTTTGGTTGTTTTTTTTTTTTGCGCATTTGGGATTAATTATTTTTACGTTTGCTTGCAGCATTTGATTACATTTGCGCGCATTCAATTTACAGGTAACACAAGTAAAATAAAGATAATTCATAATAAATATAAATATAGTTAATATGAATTTTGAACAGTTCTATTTTTTTATTATTATTTATTTAATTTTGTTAAAAACTGCTTCAATCTTAAATTGTCTCAAATTGGGTCCAAACAATTCCTCATGGGTATTAGAAGGGGAACAATGTACCATAACTTGGGGAATTATCTATATGAATTGAAGATGTAGTAGGATTCGATTCATTTGTAGGAAATTGAAAACAAACGATTTTTTCATTGAGTGCTCGGGTATTAACTTTTACAAAACAAATTTTTAGAGCTTACCTTTCGATAATAATGGTTTGCTGGATAAACTTATTGGCAATGACAAAAATATATAAAACACATTATTACTATTGCTTAATTACTAGTAAGTTAGTTGCACAAAGTTACACAAGATCTTTGGATTTTTTTTTAATGGAATTGAAAAGAGAAAAAGTGATATTATTGCCAAAGATACAAATCTCAATCAGAGACCAAAATGACACTAGGTGTAATACCATTAAATTATAGTACGTGACATCTGGTTGCATTCGAAAAAGGGTCGAAAAAAAATATTCCCTTAAATTTGACAGCTGTAGGAAATTAATCTTACATTTCATTGCAGTAAAAAATTTCTGAGTCATAAACATATATCTTGGGTATTTCAAAGCACCATTATTTTTTCATTTGGTGTTTCTAAAAATATTTTGGAAACTTGAGGGGTTAAATGGTTACTAACGCTTGTACACAGGAAAAAAGAGTGAACATGCATTTGATTGGTTAACTTCCAGTGATGGTTATTTTCGTATATGCAATGAAATGTTATGAGAAATTTTGTCTATAGTACTGGCCAGGATAAAACTTTACTCATGCAGAGTATTGCTTTATTTGAAACAAAGATAAATTCTGCACAATTTATTGAAAAGTGCAAATTTAACAAAGACTAATCAATGGTGGTATTACACCACAATATTTAACAACTATAGGTCATCGTACGGCCTTCAATGATGAGCAAAACCCATATCACAAAGTAAGCTCTAAATGGTCCTTTTTCAACTGTGTATAACGACTGTGTATAACGTATTTGGTAACGGTACAGTTTTTTTAATTAATATTTCATTCCTTTTGAAAAATAAGAAATAAAAGAACACAATGTTGAGTGCTGTACCCCTTTTTTTTTGACATTTTTACCCATTTTGTCTGTTTGTTTTGTTCACACATTGTTGTCAATATAATGGTAGTACAAATGAGGCTAGCTATAAAACCAGATTTAATCCATTATTTTTTACATAAAGAAATGCCTGTACCAAGTCAGGAATATGACAGTTGTTTTCCATTCGTTTGATGTGTTTGAGCTTTTAATTTTGTCATTTGACTTTCCGTTTTGAATTTTCCGTAGAGTTCGGTATTTTTGTTATTTTACTTTCACTTATCAAATTGACTTTTAAATGTGGATGAAGCAGAAAACGCAAGGAAACATTATTTTTTCTACGCATTTTCTATTCGTTTAGCGTGGGTTCCTTGCTCATCTGGCAAGATCCCAGGCTACAGTTCCTTTTGAATTTAAGGCATCCACAAGGTCTTGACAAATCGCATTATTGGACAGGACCGCAAATTATTTTGAGGCATGTAGGCAGTTGCCTCCTATTGCGTGCCAACTAAAAAAATTATAACAAAGAGAGAGTGTAAAGAAACAAAAAGAACAAAATATTACACTTGATAGTTCTTGATTTGACACCGGACTTCGTAGTATATCTATCTTACCCGTGATTCCTACAAAAAATGTAGAATCGAAACCCTTTTCGGGACTTTTCAACAAGCCGTTGAGTATTAAGCGTTAATAGTATAGTAATGAAACTGTTATGAAAAGATTAGGAAAGGTCGGTTCCTGTCAACACCAGTCATCGGGAGATTTTGTCTTCTAAATCATTAAGGTTTGAGTGATGCTTGAAAAAAATCATGAAAACCACAACGTAACACTTATTTCGTTTTTCAACGGTTTTGACACTTTATGTACCGAGACTACTTATTAATTTTAGCGAGAGTAACAGACAATTTTTGGAATTATGTGGATCGACGGAATTACTAAAAATGGATGACGTCAAAAGTGTGAAATTATCGGTTTTTATTTTACATTTACTGATCATGAAATCACGGCATTTCCTGTTTCCAATGTAATAAACCGACCGATCAGTCTCTTGTAATTGCTTATATCAACGTTATTTGAACTTTGGTGATGAGTTGTCTCATTGGCAATCATACCAGATCTCCTTATATATATATACATATTTATTACTTTTGACATATTATTTTACTAACATATTCATATGTTTTCTCTGTTAAGCAGCGTCAAATCAGAATTTTCTTTTTTTCCCCGATTTTTTTATAGAATGAAAGTGATAACACAGGTGCCAACTATGTCAAATTCAAATGCAGATATTTTAGAGATGACGTTGGTAACTTCGAACTGAGCTATCCTCCCGGGTATGGTGTGTACGGTTCTTATGGCGAATGGAGTGACGCTTGTCCAGTGAACAGTGCAATATGTGGTATACAAACCAAAATCCATGGAGGAAGTCCATATGGACAAGACGATACTGCACTCAATGATGTTAATTTTTTCTGTTGTGAATAAAAGTCTACTGTCACCATAGCAACATGTACAATAATACAATAACTAATCACTTTCAATCTTTTAGAGTTTCGTAATAAAAGAAATTCATAATATTTAAAGATTACTATCTAGCTATGTTGTATTCGTGTGTTATGGAAAAGATAATTAATCACCCAGTTCATTAATTAGATTTTAGTTTGGGTCAACTAAATTTATACGATATATTTGGTTTACAGTTTGATTTAGAAGAAACACCGACATAGCTAGTGTACTATTAATTATCTAATTACTACCACATTCTATATTAATTAGTATTGTAATTTTCATTGTTATCAATAAATGTTATATGAGTATTATAAACCAGATCTTGAATGCTATCCTAATTCTATCCTATTTTGGGGAAATTTCAGAAATTCAAATGTGACATCACGTTTTTTGCGTTGATCTCTTTGGCTAACTCGGCTGTGAATTTCTATGTGCTGGTTTATGTTGTTTTATGTATCCGTTTTTATTC